TTTTTTAGGGAAGGATCTACAGGGTGTTCAGGGTCTCACCACTAGATTGGACTCATAGTGATCCGCCTGTTTACAACTTCTCAAGAGCTGGGATTATAGGCTGCACCACCACGCCCAGTTTCAATTGTCATCTCAGCATGCCCAGGGGGCAGGGCTGGCACAGCATGCTGGGGATCGAACCCCGGCCCCTGCACCTGCTTTCAGGCACTTTAATCTGCTGAGCTATTTGGCTGGCTTTTGTTTTTGTCTTTTAAAATATTTATTTATTTATTTATTTGATAGAGGCTTTTGATACGTAGTTCAGGCTTGTAGTGATCCACCTGCCTCAGCATCCCCAGTGCGGGGATCACAGGCGTGTGCTACCACACCCAGAAAGTATGGCTTTGTTGATGCTTCGCTAGAGACGCCCTATGATGGAACACTTTACCACATTCATTGCATTTGTAAGGTTTCTCTCCAGGACGGATTCTCTGATGACTTGCTAGGTGAACTGGTATCTAAAGGCCTTGCCACATTCATTACATGTATATGGTTTTTCCTCAGCATGGATTATCCAAGTAGCCATTGTGCAAGGTAGCCATTGTGATGGAAGATCTTATCCCATTCATTATGTTGCAAAGGTTCGTTATTGTGGAAAGGTGTCTCTCCAGAATGCATTCTCTGATGACTTGATAGGTAGGACTTGAGACTAAAGACCCTCCACATTCATCACACTCGAAAGCTTTCTCACCAGTATGAATTGTTCGATGACATATAAAGTGTGATTTCTGATGGAAGACCTTGTCATTCATTATATTTGTAAGGCTTCTCACCAGTATGTATTTTCCGATGACTTCTAGGGTTCAATTTGTGACTGAAGTCTTTGCCACATATATCACACGGAAATCGTTTCTCTTCATCGTGGACTCCCTAATGCACAGTAAGGTGGGAGCCTTGGTTAAAAGATTTGCCACACTCATTTCGTTTGTAAGGTTTTGTACCAATATGTATCACCAGTGCTTATGTGGAAAATGAAGTGTCATGAAGTCTTTTTCATATTTATGAGAAATGTTTGTTCTGATCCTAGAAGGATTTCTTTGGTGGAATGAAACTGAGGAATCAGTATTGACAGACTGTTCACTGTAATCACTCTCATAAATGTTCCTTTCAGACAGCTACAGTTCAGGCAGATGTGATTGAAAGCCAAATTTTAATGTTGCTTTCTTATGTCCCTTTTACCATGTTCATCTGTTTTACCAGTGACATTTTCCTTATGAGTCATAGAATCCTGTGTCAAGTCTTCTGTCTTCTCTGAAATGACACTCAAAGTCATGTGTATTTGGATTTCTTTGAAGCACAATTCTTCAGTGTCATTGATTCAATGTCTTTCCAACAGTACTCTCTGGCATATTTTTCCTGTATCATTTCATTTTTGGTGAAAATTTAGGAAAAGAATCTGTGTGCACAGCTTTGACACATTCTCACCCCTGTGACTTTCTGGGTACCATCACTTGGCCACCCATGTTCCAGGGCTGTCCCTCTCACTCCTATGTGGAGATAACACTCCTGTCAAAGGGAAAGATGCCAAATTCCTGTAGTTCTCCCACATCACATCCCTGTACAAAGTCCTGTGAGCAGGGTCCAGGCTTTTCCACGCCTGGGAGATTTCTACAGCCACTTCCGTCAATGTCTGTAGACCCTTAGTCGCAGCCATTTTCAACTCCTTTCCTCTTCCTGGTTCAGGCTTCTCCCCTATGCAACATGAGTCTTTAAAGGTTAATTCTGTTGGCTATCCTAACAGAGCTGAGATGGTATATGGACACAGGATTTTAGGGCTCCTGGGAGAGCGGTGGGCTATGCTATGGCCTTCACTCCCTGGGAGCTACGTCCAGGTCTACAGGAAGCAGGGCGTAGGGGAGCCGAGCTTAAGAGGGGACAGGCCCAGTGCATCCTTGGAGGCTTATTTCATATTTACAATCATGAAGCTCTTCCTGACCCCCTGTCCATTCCCAATGAGGCAGAAGGGGCAGCCCACCTCCTGGACACATTTTGGCATGGTACTGTATTTGCCATCCTGGTGAACTTCTGGTGCATAATGTGCTCTGAGATGATCTCTTAGCCTCCTGAGCAGCAGATCCTGGGCTGGGTCGTTCTGTTCATCAGTTTTCTCCCCTGCCCTCTGTGACTGGCTGCTCCTTAGCTACAGATGATGGCCACACAAAATTTGGAGCCTCCTGAGAGATCTCGAAATCTGGCCAGATTTGGGGTCCACTGGGCCTTCCTGCAGCACCTGAAGGTGTGCTCAGCGTCTTCAGTGGTTCTACTTGCCCCACAAAGTGAAGCCCTTTGGCCGGGTCTGGTGTGGAAATACCCTGTGGCTGTGATGGGCAGGCTTCTGGGGCAGAGGGCTCTGCCCACACCAGGCCCAGCACATGAAGCCAACTGCTGGGTTTCCATGGCACCTTGTCTGCATCCAGAAAATCCCTGCCCAGTCTGAGATAGGCACTTTCGCTAAACAGATGTGACGACTGTTTCCAAATGACGGCCCACTTTGAGCTCACAGCTTCCTCTTCCATTATGAGAGGAGGCTGCAACGACCACAGGGGCCTAGCCAGCAAGTGCCCCCTCAGGGGTGCATCAGCAGCCAGAAACATGCACAAGGCAGGGGACAGATTGCCCCACAGCCCCTTCTCACTGTGGAGCCTAACTACTAATAAGGGTAGGAAACCATCACTTTTTACACACTGTATTGCCACGCGCTCTGCTGAGGCTCTAAGACATCTCTTCTCCAGCCCCACCACCCTGCCAGGTAGCTCCCTGACTGCATCCCAGGCCATCAAACTCCACTCATAGGCTCCATCCCATCCCACGCATCATAGATAGGGATGGACAAGAGGATCCTAGACATTAACCTACTGAGTTGTTTCCATGAAGACCTGAATAAATCTGCACAGTAGGCCTGTTGAGGACAAGCCCCATTTGGTAATACTTGAGCCTCTCTGGCCCTGTGTGAACTTCCTGCAGCCAGGCAGTGTGGGTTGCCCAGCTGGGTACTTGGAACATGACGTGCTCCACCTGCCTCACCCTCCCGAGCACTGGGATTATAGGTGTGTGCCAGAACCCCCAGCAGAAGGATCCTTGAGCCCTGGGATTAGCACCAGCCTGGACACGTAGCATGATTTTATCTCAGTCAAACAAGCTGGGGATCTGATCTAATAGTACAGCACCTGCCTATCATACGCAAAGCCTTGGGTTTGATTCCCAGCACCACCAAAACACAAACCCACAAAGTGCACTTCCTGAGATGCTGCTAGGGTGAGTCAGGGACCCCAGACCCCTGTGTCTTCTACCTATTGTCCTTTACAGCCCACAATAATCTTGACAATAACCAATTACTTGTGGCACTTGAGCATGTATTTTTGTTCCTTAAACCCCAGGGCTGGGCACATCAAGGGCCTGGTTGACTGACATGCTTTGAGAGTGTTAGCAGTTGTTTTATCATCAGGAAAATCTGCTGAGCCATGGAGCTTGCTGGGGCAGCCTCAGCCAGGAGCCCCTGTTCCAGCCCTGGGCCATGCTATCTTAAGCAGCTGCGCTGCCCCTGTCCTATCTGGCCAGGGGACAAGTGGCTCTGAGGAGTGCTACTGCTGGCTCCAGCCCAGGTCTTGGGCCTGCCTGCCCCCTGGAATGCAGGTCACCAGCCAGCTCGGAGCCAAGTTTGCTCAGGGCTTTCCTAACAACATTTTCCAGAGTCCACTTCCCTTCTTGCCATCCTCAGGCCTCAATCCCCCAAACACAGAAATGGGAGCGTTTAGTGCTTGCTTTGGCAGCACATATACTAAAATTTGAACGATACAGAGATTAGCATGGCGCCTGCGCAGAGATGACACACAAGTTCGTGAAGTGTTCCATATTTAAAAGAAAAATGGAGAGTTTAAGCTAGATCTGTTTGCTGCAGAACTCTTTCTAAGGTATCTTGCTCCAGAATTCAATATTCAAGCTGGTGTGGGGCACACACCTGAAATCCCAGCACTCTGGGAGGCTAAAGCCTCAGCACAAGTTGAATGC